AACCCTAACCCTAACCCTAACCCTAACCCTAACCCTAACCCTAACCCTAACCCTAACCCTAACCCTAACCCTAACCCTAACCCTAACCCTAACCCTAACCCTAACCCTAACCCTAACCCTAACCCAGAAAAATGAAGCAACAATGGGTGCAGAACTTAGCATGGATAGCTAAATTGACTTATAGGAACTTAGTGATACCCTGCATATAGTGAAGCAGGTTAAATTTGGGGTGTTGGATCCCAATTAACAGCATCACGGGATGTGGGCAACACGTTCATGATTGGACCCTATATCAAACGACCAGGGACGACATTTTCTGCGTCACATCTGTTATCCCAGCGCTTCTCCTATTCTCCACGGAGGGTTCGTACTCCCATGTCCCAGTCTCTGGGCCCTTCAGAACACCCACAGCAGATACGAGCATACTACAAGCTAGAATTCCCTGGTGCTGGCAATGGCCAAGGACGCGACTATTACTTTCAAACATTGTCAATATCCATCGGACGACGTCCCCTTCCTGCAGCACCACGATCTCCTTCGACTTCCGCCGAACCCGCGCATGGACCGCAGCAATCCGTCGACGTTCATTTGGGTGCGCTTAAGAGCGTGTCTCGACTCCACGCGAAGATAGAATATGATGAGTCGATCGGGAGCTTTGTTTTTGCGGTTCATGGCAGGAATGGGGCATGGGTAGACGATGTCTGGATAGCAAAAGGGGGACGAGTACCTTTGCAGAGAAAGTGCGTATCACGCTTTCATTGCCGGAAGTGCTGTTCATAGTAGCCGCAGAACCAAGCTGCAGATTGCGAACAGGACGTTTTATTTTCACCTACCACCGGGCACTGGGCCTGACGGGGAGCAGAAGGACTTTCCCCGACCGGGTTCCACGCCAATCGATGTCACTTCAGTAACTCCGCCAGCCGACTCTCCTTCTCCTTCGCCGCCGGCGTCTTCTGTTTCTCCTATGCGAGCCCTTAAAGAGGAGGACGAGTACGAAGCACCATCCCAGAGCGTGGCCAACGGGCCGCCACCTCAGAAGCCACCATATACATACGCGCAGCTCTGCTATCGTGCACTTCATGAAATGGGAGGACGAGCAACACTCCAGGATATCATTGATTGGATGATTCGGACTTTTGAATGGTTCAAGCAACATCCGAATAGTGGTTGGCAGGTGCGCATACACCTGTGTTCCTCTTGCTGAACCTGATTATGGTACAGACTTCGGTCCGACATACACTTTCTATGAATAACGCATTTGTGAAGTCCCCCAGATCACAGGGTGAACGTGGGAAAGGATGCAACTGGACTCTACATCCAAACGCATATCAGCTCTTTGAGGCCGCGGCTGCCAATAGGCTCAACCGACATCATCCTTACCAGGTGCCAGACGGCTTGCCTCGAGGCATACATTCTCTACCTGCCGCTGTTCCAACGGCAATAGTGCATGCGCCAATTCCTGCCGGGCCGCCGTTCGGCCCATCAACGTCCTATCCCTCAGCTGTTCCGTCCGCCCCCACAAATGCAGCAGCTGCCGCTGCTGTTGCAAATGGACCTATCAACCTTCCCAGCAATGTCTCTCTTCCTATCGTCATCGCCCCACTCCCTGATGCTACGGATCAATCGTCCGCCAACCCACCTCTAGATGCTCCTCCAATTGTGCTCGATGCTGGAAAGCTAGTGTTAAACCCAACAATCTTTGCCCACCTCCAGGAAGCGCAGCTCAACGAGTTGCAGCAATTGGGTGCTCAAGAAGCGCTTAAAATCCTCCAGGCATATATCGTTGAATATTTGAAGGAGCGGATGCGTGGCGAAAAGAGCGGCCCCGGAAAGCCGAAAGGAAAGAAGAAGAAGGCAAAGAAGGAGGGCAAGTTGGCTTCTATCGGACCAGAATCCGCAGCGACAGTGCCTGATTCGAGCAAACCTGGGTCGACAGTCAAGACTGAGGTGACTGCGACACACACTGTGGCTAGCTTGCTTTCCAACCCTTCGCTTTCATACCCTTCTCCCCTGACAAATCCACCCCCACGTTCCTCATCCCTGTCGGCGAAGGATCCCAAATCACACGTAGAGCCTCCGGTCGAACCTGAACAGGATGGCGGACTAGTCGCTTTGGCAGAAGCTGCTGTCTCCCATAGCGGTGAGCAGTGAATAGACAGTGGAGGGCACGGGCGCGGGATGACGGTTTGTTGTATTCATACGTAACATGTGTAACAATTCAGCGGAAACCGTTGTATCACAATAAGAGCCATTACTTAGGGGGCACGTGAGTCAACGTGGCGCAAGGTCCACCCGTCGAGAGCCGGTGCCAATTGATCGAGAGCATGCAATATTGGGATCGAGACTAAACTTGGCGTGATCGAAGTTACTCGGGTGGCACTGTTAAGAAGACACGGGTGGTTTTCCTTTTCGGTTCATCCTCAAGCAATGTCATAACGTAAGATGAATTTCAATTTGTTGGAACTGACCGCGGCGCAATTACAACATGACGTACATGAGGTACAACAACCAAGCGTTGGCAACCAATTTGTGGGAAGGATACACGTCTATCTACGGATCCCAAATAAAGTGGAAAAATGCGATGGGGAGCCCCAATGGGTGGCCATTCCCCAATTGAGTGCACCGGCGTGAAGCAATTATTAAACCTTGTTGAAAATTATACAGTGAAGCAAAACTCGTTACGATGTTTAGGCATTGACCGTCTTTGTGGGAGTGTGGACGCGTGCCATACGCCCGACGGCCCATCCACGGATCCCAAGGACTACGAGAACCCATGTGAAGTTCAGGCACATGATAGCCACAACGAGATTAAGGAACATCATCATGTCATCTGGATGACATCAGTGGGTGGTCTAACTGCACAGCCAATGGAATGCGCACCTTTACCATTCCTCATGGCAATGTATGTAACTTCCTCTGTGCTCAGGATGAACGTCAAGCCTCCACATGCCAGCGTAAAGGCAGCGAGCGCCTCAGTGGGTGGCCTAGAGGGAAGCGGGGATGTAGGCGGGCGGAGCCACAGGAAGAAGTACGTCAAGAACCGGAAGACTGCGAATGCGCCCAGGAGGAGACCCCAGAGCGCGTGAATTTCAACCTGAAAAACGTAGGTTTGATGATGCGCCGACATTGCTGCACCGGTAATCCCGATACAAAGTGCAGGAAAAGGATTAAAGCTTCCGAGATAGCTCCACGGCTGGGGCACCTCGCTTTCGGGGCGGTAGGCTCGGACAAGAGCAGGAGTAGACAGCAACCTTCGAACAGTATTCGACTCCAGTGCCATACCCATCAGGCCTGCGAACCAGAACATGACAGCGATGGAGATATGCTGAATCTGTTTGGTCGTATATGGCGACCCCGGGGCAGCCCCGAAGCGCTCCATCCAAGTGTTCGTGGCACCGTATATGAAAATGACGATGGATTCGATCATCTCGGCCGAAGGAGGCGCCCGCTTTCCGGGTGGTGTGTACACGCGGTTCCATGCCCAGCCGATTTGGGAGAACGCGCCACAGTAACGGGCAAATGTGAGAATACCATAGAACCAGAAGATGCTGCCCTCTTTTCATGACGTCAGGAGCCGTTGAGAAACTGGAGACAACGAGGAACTTACTGATGATATGAGCCATGCAACCGTTCAAGTAACTGTCACGGCAAATCCCGATATAGTTCGTCATGCCAGATAATGTGACGACGGCGGCAAATACAACAAGTATATGCTCCGCAACAATGAATGTTCGGCGGAGGATCATGCGCGTGAGAGGTTCGCGATTCTGGCGGTCTCCAGGGAAGGTGTGGGCTACCGGGGAATGCCCATTATCGTGCAGGGTGGTCTCCGAGTGATCATCAGTGAGTGTCTCACGAATCGGTGAATGGAGAGGCGGTGCAGAGTCAGGCCAGTCTTCGGAGGTCTGCTCGCAAGGGATGAACGACTCTTCCTCTTCGATGTGTTCCTGCAGCTTGTAGGACTCTGGCTGATTCACGAGATCGTATCCATGAGACGACTTGCCGAGAATGACAAAAGTCCAGAGCCGGTGCAGGGACCTATCTGACGACCGGACGAACGACCATGCGCGCTTGAGAAGATCTGCGACATCGACAAAGGACAAGAGAGTTGAGATAGTCAGAAGCCACACGCCCATTGTGCCATGTGCTGATCCCTCATAGCTGCGCATATATGAGCTTGATCGGCACGCATGATGGGACGGAAGGACTCACAGATCTGGTGTAAGCTTCTTGTAAGCAGTTCCTGAGAGGAAGCCGACTGCTGTTAGAAGGAGATAAGCCGTGTTGACGGGAGGGTGCCAGGGATGCTTGGCACCACGGAGGGCGATGGCTGGAGGATGGGTGAGTAAGGTTTGTCTCGGATGAGGACGTGAGAGAGAGATAGCTCACCGAGAGGTAGGAATACAAAGTAGGCGAATATCATGGATACAACGTGGATGACCATGAATCCAATGTAGCTGGGACCGCCGCCTTCCTCCAACGTGAGGTTGCCAAAGTCATGGTCCCAGTACGAGGGTGGGTCGGGGAGATGCCACATGAGCACCTCTGTCTCGTTCAATTCTAGGAGTGGTGGTGGGTCATGGGCCGTGTGGCCGTCCATGTTCATTGAATGGTCGTCATGTCTAGGCGTAAATGGCGAGGACAAAGCATCGCGTCGTTGCTGTTGTTGCAGAGGCTGGAAGGGGGTCGTTGCGAGTGCGACGCCCAAGAGGGCCGTGAGTGAGATTACAAATGCGGTTGATGTGTGCATGGTGTTGTGTTAGATTGTCGTATGCTGGCGTTCAAGGAGATGGTGTCTGTCCCGGCGTGACAGGAGGAGAGGGGGGGAAGGGGGGGGGGGGAGGGGAGGGAGAG